TAAATATAATGTCACTACTTTGCTGATTTGTATTTATCGCAGTGTTGGTAACCTCTGGCATAAATGAGGGGCCACTTTTGTATTTGAAAACAGCTAAGTATTTAATACACAAATTGTATAGATTACAGATTCTTCATCACTATATTCTTTCCTAGCTGGACACCACTGTAACATGAAATTCAGTAACATTCTTTGAAGAAGGAATGGACCATAGAAGTACATATCCTTCTCTATAGTGCCAAGTAAAAGTCAAACTGTGAATGTTCCCACGGCATCCTCATGCAACTTTTTCTGACCAGGACAAGATTTTGAAAATCACAATTCGATTTAACCAAATGAAAAAATAGATGTGGGCTAGGGAGACAGGTCAGCAGTCTAAGTGCCTATGGGGCAAGCACAAGGACCTGGATTTGACTCCCCCTGTACTGCATGCCGTGCTGGCCCTGCAACCCAGCGTGCACAGTGCTGACCACTAAAGCTTGGTAGCCCACGCCTGTAATCCCAGCCCTGGGGAGGCTGAGAGAGGAGGATCTCTATGCGTCTGGACTGGGTAGTGAGACCCTGTACCAAATAAATAAATAAATAACAGATTTTTTAAAATAGATTTTTCCCCAATGAATTTTAGTTATGAAAAAGACCACAAGCCTTTAAAAATTTACTATTGTTGCACTGTCAGGCAACAACTGAATTAGTATGTACTGTCTGTATCCCTGTCCTATGGATAGATATGCCAATTTAGAGAAATTAGCTACCTTGCCTAAGGTATTGTCCATAAGCAGAAGAGCTAGGTTTTTGTCATTTTTAGTTTCATTTATTTATTTTTTTCCTTTTATGTATTTTTTTATGAGCAGAATATATTTATTGAGGGAAAGAAAGCTCTTGTCTGAGAGAGGGACAGGAGGGGGGCCTGAGCGGGTTGTTCCCTTTTATGTATTTGGTATAGGGTCTCACTACACTGCTTGGACTTGTAGTGATTCTCCTGTTTTCAGCCTCCCTAGTGCTGGGATTAGAGGTATGCGCCACCACACTTGGACTTGGTCACAGCTCAGTGCACCACCGGGATCGGGAGTCAGCACCACATGCTTGGACTGGGGATCGAACCTTGGTCCCTGAGCTTGTCAAAGTAGGTGCTTAGTCTGCTGAGCTATCTCACCGGCTCCAGAGCTAGGTTTAATATGGCCAGTCTTACTCTAGCATCTAGCCTTAACCATTACATGGTTTAATAGCATCATCTAATTTTTTTTCCTTGTATGAAAGCAAACTGTTCCCTAATAGGACACACAAATAAAAGTTTTCATATAGCTCATATGTACTAAGTGCTTTCTGAACAACACTTTCACTGCTTTTATTTTTTATTTTCTATGTCATTGTTCTTCCTATAAATCCCATGTCACTGAGCATAAAAATGACAGTAATACTAACAGGTCATCTCTTGTTGATAAAACTCTTTACTTATACTTCTCAGAGACTCTTTAATGTTTTTTTCTGGGGTTAGGTTAAGGATTATTTGGAGATTCAGAAGCATTAGAGAAAACCAAAAGAATGAGTGAACGCTATTGATGCAAGGGGTGGAAGAATAGGAACATTAATGGATCATTTTATAAATTATATACTTTTTATAAATATTAATAAATAGACATGAGTTCCTTGTATAACAAATATTTTTTAAAGGGAACAAGACAGTAATATTTATCTTTACCACTGTTATTCAACATTATAATGGAAGCTCAAGTGATAGCAATTGGACAACAATAAATCAAAAGTCATCCAGACTTAGAAAAAAAGAAATAAAACTATATTTATTTACATTTGAATAGTTCTACAGACACAGATGAAATCCACAAAAAACTATAAGAGCTGATAAGCAAATTCAGCACAATTCCAGGATCAAAATACAAAATCAGATATGTATCTACGCTAATGAAAAATTCCAGGAAAAAAAAAATTCTATTTACAATAATGTCAACAAGAACAAACTACCTAAGAATAAATTTAACCAAAGAGGGTAAAGAGTTGTATGCTGGAAACTATAAAATACTGAAGAATGAAATTAAAGATCTAATTACTAAGGACACGCTGTAGTCATGGGTTGGAAGGCTGAATATTGTTAAAATGGCAGGCTTAAAAATAGTGTACACATTTAATGCAATCCCATCAAAGTTCTAATGGCCTTTTGGGAAAAAATGGAAAAATCAACCATGCATCTAGAACTACAAGAAGCCATAAGCAGCCAAAACAATATTGAAAAAGTAAAGCAATGTAGGACTCAAGAGTTCCTGCATTCAATCCCTATAAGAACACTAACAAGTAGAGCGCCACACACCTGTAACCCCAGATGATGGGGAGGCTGAGGAGGGAGGACTGTGGGTTCAAGCCTGGACAATGTAGTAAGACTCCATCTCAAAATACAAGAAAAATGGCTGGGGCTGGGGCCCAGTGGTATAGTGTTTACCTAGCAAGCATGAAGCCCTGGGTTTGATCCCTACTACTGAAAAAAAGAAAAATAAATCAAGACTAACAGCCCAAAAGAATAGAGTTGAGAGTACAGAAATAATCTCCAACATAGATGCTTAAATAATTTCAACAAAGATGTGAAGACCATCCAGTGAGGAAAGAATCAGCTCTCCAAAAAAAGTGATCCTGGGATAATTATTTGCAAAGTGATGAAGTTGGACTCCTAACCAATCTAAAAATTGTAGCTCAGTGGTCAACAATCTAAATACTATTTAGCAACAGAAACTATAAGACACCTAGAAGAAAACATAGGTATTAATCATGATGGTGGGTTTGGCAATGCATTCTTAGGTTTAATGCCAAAAACAGAGCAATAAAGAAAAACTAGTTAAATTGGCCTACATAAATATTAAAAGCCTTTGCCATCAAAGGTTGTCATAAAAATGTGAGAGGTAAAACAGAATAAAATATTTGCAAATCATGTATCATGCAAGGGTTCAATATACAGAATAAAGAACTCTTACAACTCAAGAACAAAGAGACAAGCTAATTAAAAATAAAGTACTTGATACAAGTGCCCAGCAAGCACATGAAAAAATATTCAGTCGTACTCCTAGGAATATACAAATCAAGGCTGCAATGAGATACTATTTCATCTCCAATTGAATGGCTTAATTTTAAAAAAAGGAAATACAAGTTTGATCAAATTGGAGAGAGTAGCCCTCAGGTGTAGCCGGTGGGAATATAAAATAGTTGAGTAACTTGGAAAAGTCTGGAAGTTTTTCAAATCACCACATGACAATTCCACTGCTTGGTATAAACCCAAGAGAAATGAAAACATATTCACAGGAAAATTGAACATAAATATTAACAGGAGCATTATTAACAGCCACAAATGTAGGAATTCAGTGTTCATCAGTAGAGGGATGGATAAGCAAATTATAGGTATACAGACACAATGGAAGTACTGAAATACACTGCAACTAGATTAACCACTAAAACATATGAAGCTAAAGTTTACATAAAAGGACATGGTGTTTGTATACTATAATCCCTTTTGTATAGCTTGTAGTAAGCAAATCTAAAGAAACAAAGAGCAAACTATAGGTTACCATGTAATTGTTTGGGTGGAGTAAGGAAAAGTTTGAAATTATAGCTGATGGTGCACAACATCATGAATACACTAAATGCTACCAAACTGTATGCTGTAACGATTATGTACCATGTAAGTTTCTTCTCAAAAATCTTATGCAGAAATAATGAGTTTACTTTTTAAAGAAATCTACTTAGGCCATTAATTTTTAATTTTCCTTACTTTATCTCCTAAAGTCAGTAACCAAGTAACTGACTTAATGTCTGTAGCTCTTCTACACATTCAGGATACTTTCTTCCTCCTGCTCCAGTGGCAATCCAGTGTGGATGGTTCTCTTTATACTCTTAACATTACACTTACAGAGATGTTTTCATTGTTTTTAATGCTGATATAGATAAGTAAAAAGGTTTTTAGTAAATTTCATTGGATACCTACCTCCTGGAGCTTATCTCTTATACAACCATGAAAGCTACGATACTAATGTCATTAAAGGTAATGCTCATGAATAGTTGAAACAGGTAATTTTATGTGCTTTTCACAAGTAAAGCATTTTCATATGCAAGATAAGCGTATGTATTTTTACTTAAAATTAAGTCTTTATGGATTTGGCAAACATATAAAACGTGGCTAAATTGATGGTGCTCTGTAGTCCCAACTACTCAGGTCACTAAAGGAGTAGGGTATCAAGTTTGAGGCCAATCTGGACAATTTAGCAAGGTCTTCTCACAAGAAAAAAAAAAAAAAAAAAAAAAAAGATGAAAAATGGCTGGGGCTGTAGTACTATCTATCTATCTATCTATCTATCTATCTATCTATCTGTCTGTCTTCTATCTATCCATTCTGTGTGTGCAAATAAAACTTTCTTGAAATAAACCACATCTTATAGCCATGCAGTTCATTTTCATTTTCAAGAAGCGCAGAGAAACACTTGTTCTAGAGAATTCTAGAATGCTAGAAATGAGGTTTCTAGAAGACCAATTATCACGGCTTTCTGCATGTCACTAAAACAGTGTATGTATTTTTAAATGGTCAAGCAAGAAGAGACCAGCTGCTTTACTGTTCACCATATGTCTCAGAAAAAGCTTAAAAATATTCAGATTGACCTTCTGATGAATGATGCTTTAGAAACATTTTGGCTACATCAGTGGTTCTCACCCAGTGGTTTGTTTTGCCCCCCAGAGGATGTTTAGCAGTGTCTACAAGTCTTTTTGTCATACCTTCAGAGAGCTACAAATACCACTTAGCTAGACTTCACGGACTGTGCTAATCTTGCTGCCATACAGCAAAGTCTCCCACAACAAAGAATTACCACATCCAGATGTTATTCTTGACAAACCTTGAGCTAAGTTAATGGCCTCATCCATGTCTTGCCTAAAATTTGCAGTCAAACTCAAAACATGTTGCAGGAGCTGTTGTTTTATATTTTTTCCATGTTATAAGGTATAAATCTGATTTATAATTTAAGAATTTAGTTAAGCAATACAATTTCAGAGACAGTAGAGGTTAAAAATGACAAGAAGTTGAGAGAATGAAATACAAAAAGTATACCAGCAGTCTGGGAGCTTGAGTCAAGAGCACCACAAGTTTGAGCACAACCTGGGAAACTTACCAAGGCTGCATGCAAAAATGAACAATTCAAAAAAGGGCTGGGGATACAGCTAAGTGCAAAGGTCTGGGCTCAATCCCCAGGACTAGGACACAGGACGGGGTAGGGAAGAAAAAAATGAGAAAACAGGAATAGAAATCAAATCAGGGATACATATAACCAAAATTTAAATGAAGAGCTTGTTAGATATCTAGAACTCTCGAAATTCAATTTTAATTTGCAATACAAGCAGCATTGAACATGACTAAAAACTAAAGTGGCACTGCAGTCACTTTCTATTTTCTTATTATAGAAATATCTTTCAGTAAGACAAAATCGTAAGGAGTAACAGTTTAACTTATCTTCTTATTTCAACTTCCAGCATTTACCTTTGCTACCCCATTAAGTTTTCTTTGGAAAGAGGCATATAATTTATTTCTTCTTGTTGATACTTCATCCAGTAACAGTAATAAAGAAGAGAAATTAAAAAAGAAGTTGAATCCAGTAGAAGTCTATTTTTCAAATCTAACACTATAAAGGATTTTAAAAATAATCTTACCTAGGATATCCTTACTCCAAGTCAAATTGTCCCAGAGAAAGCAAGAGTGAGATATTTTGTTATTTCTCTTTAATTCGTTAAAAAAAAAAAAAAAAAAAAACCTTTGCTGAAAGGAAGACTCACCATGACCCTTTTAGCCAATAATAAGAAGCCAGATAAAAAGAAAATATTAAGTTGCACAAAATAAATACACTGAAGCAACTATAATAGCAATAAGCTTTATTTAAAATATTCTTAATCTAGGAAGCTCATTGTACACGAGTTTCCAACTAATTAGGGTCAGAAACAAAGAAAATAAAACCAGAGAAAATCCTCTGTAGAAAAAATACACAAGGAACACTTCTACATGTGAAAACCAGTAAACAGTCTCAACATCTGAACATCCAAGGGTCAGTCTCTGTGTCACCCCCTAGTGAACACCACTATCAACCTTGAGATCTGACTTGCTCTTGTCATTCTTCACTGAGTAGATGAAATAAGTTAAGGTGTCTTTTTCATTCACTGGAATAGACCTAAAGTGGCAACCAACTATCTATAAAGAAAAAAAAAATGAGGAAATTAAATTTTAGATACAACAGATACTAGGTAAAAGACTCTATCAAAAGTGCTATGTGATAAAAGATATTTCTTTTATAAATTAAATTTTATTTAATCAGAAAAATTAATAAAACAACAGGACAAAAAACACTTAAGAATAAAAGATGTTTTGAACAAAAGACAGTTTGACTTCAAAGTACACTTTGGCTCACTGAATTAAACACACATTGATTAGATGTACAGCTCCCTTTACTTTAAATTTTACAACTGGATTTAGATTGAGAAGCAAGTATTTTTACTTTTAAGCTTTAAACATCAATGCACTAAAACAGAAGGGTCCACATGTATAGTACTAGGAAGAATAAATATGAAACTGAAAACATTCCGATACTAAAGAAACAACCATGAAATATAAATGTCTTGGCTATAAATTATAACCATGCATTGATTCACTGGCAGTATTCCTTGTAAAGGCTCCTTGAAATTTTTTCAGAATAAAAATTATGAACAGTCAGTAGAGTAAGCGCTTGGCTAGCAAGTGCAAGGGCCTGAGTTCATATCCCCAGTTCCAAATAAATAAATTTTAAAAAAAAATTATGAACAGAAAAATGAAAAAAGACAGGAAAATTTACTGAAGACTTTAAGACTATTCAATTGCTTCCCTCTTCATTTTTTTTTTTTTTTTTTTAAACTGTGGATTGAACCTAGGACCTTCCTACTGAGCTAAGTCCAGCTCTTTTATTTATTCATTTTTTGTCCCCTGAGACAGTCTTGCTAAGCAGCTAAATTGTCCAGGTGTGGCTGGGACTCCAAGCGTGCAGGGATTACAGTTGTGCGCCACCACGGCCAGCTGTTTCCTCGTCTTTTCACTGTACTGATCTCACAGGTACACTGCAGCTACTGAGAGAAGAATGAGCACACACTGGGGTGGCGATGTGCAGTGCTAGCATTTATACTTCTTTAAGAACACACACACACACACACAGAAAGCTGCTGTAAATGATAACCATGAATTGACTGGGTGTGGCTGCACGCATCTATAAACACAGCATTCTCTGAAGGCAGGAGGATAGCAAATCCCAGCCCTGCCTGGGCAACTTAACGATTTATCAAGACCCTGTCTCAAAATTAAAAAGGGTTGTGCATGTAGCTCAGTGTGAAGGTTCTAGGTTCAGTCCCTAGTCCTGAAAAGAAAAAAGGGCTTCAGAATAATGTACTGGTTTTCATTTAAAAGGATCAGTTCTTTCATTCTCATTTTTTGGAGAGCAAAGCTGATTCCATTCCAGCAATGTCTGATGACATTTCACTATAGGCAATAGGTACATGGCCACAGAGTGCACAATCCAGAAAGGACCAAGTCTTTTAAATCAAATATAAATAAAAATTATATTTTTGTTAACCAGGCAAGAAATGGAAAAGAAATTCTGACTAAAGGATACTTTGGGCTTTAAAAACATTATGGAGCATTCTGCCAAAAAAACCCTAACTTTTATTTATTTATTTATTTATTTTGGTCTCACTATGTAGTTCAAGTTAGTCTTGAACTTGCTATATAGCCCTGCCTGGTCTCTAGTTTGTAATCCTCGTGCCTCAGCCTACTTGTAGTCCTCAGTGTTGGGATTACAGGTCTATGTCAGCTCACCAGCTACCTTTTATCTTATCTGTATACTTCTGAAGAATATGAGAACACTGATTTATGTATTCACATTTCTACTCTGCACAGTAAATTAAACTTTTAAAATTTAAGTATGATTAAAATATAAATATAGGAGCTGGGAATAGAACACCATAGCACAAGGACCTGCCTGGCAAGTGCAAGAAGTTTGATTCCCGGTACCAAAATAAATAAATAAATACAATACAAGTATATAAATCTACAAACATCCTAATAACATGTGCAGATGTTTTTGGTTCTTTTAGTTCCTGAGAAAACACACACATAAGAAGTTTTCAAAACTAAACAAAGGACCGCAAGTCTTTTCTTTCTTTCTTTCTTTCTTTTTTTTTTTTTTTTTTTTTTGGTCTTTTTGAGGCAGGGTCTCACTGTGTAGTTCAGGCTGGCCTTGAGCTCACTTTGTAGCCCAGGCTGGTCTTCAACAAACAATGATCCTCCTACCTCAGCCTCCTAAATGCTTGGATTACAGATGTGTACCAACACACCTGGCCAGGACCATGAGTCTTATATCAAAGTAGAATATAAGTAAAAGCTTGCATATGGAAATGCTTTTAGTGTTCATTTATAGGCCTTCTCTAGCAGAAACTTAAACACAAAATATAATAGCTGGGTATGGTGGTGCACTCCTATAGTCCCAGCACTCAGGAAGTTGAGGCAGGAGGATTGTTGTGAGTTCAAGGCCAGTTTGGGCTACAAAGTGAGCTCAAGGTCAGCCTGAACTATACAGTGAGACCCTGTCTCAAAAACAGCCAAAAAAGAAAAAAAAAAAATCTAATAAAGACACTAAAGCTAATTTGTTATACCAATTAGGCATCCACTAAATACTTACTAATTAAGTGGAATTTGAACATTTTGAAAACTATTTTTAGAAGATGCTGAGCACAAGTTAAATATAATCCATTAAACAGTCACTATATAAAGAAATTTTCTAGGTGGTAGACAAATGTTTTTAGGCCACTAGATTCTTCAATAAATTTTCTTTCCTTCTTTTTTCTACTATTTCTCTTTTTGGTATACTGGAGACTGACCCCGGCTGGGGTCTATATCTTCAGCCCCTTTTTATTTTTTGTTTTGAAACAGTTTCAGTACATCCCTACTGCCCAGGCTGAGCTCCACCTTGTAGCCCTCCTGCCTCAGTCTCCTCATGGATGGAATTACAGGCACATGCCACTTTTATTTTATAACTAAAATGTACCGTTACCTGTATGATCTTAATAATTTTATTAGCATTTAATGACCCCTTGCTTGTGTGAACATGTTCATTTAAAGTTTAAATAGCTTAAAATTCCTATTTACCTCAACAAGTTGTGCTTTATTAAGTCCTGGTCTGGTTGGTAGCTTGAAGTGTCTTTTGTATCTCCTAAGTGTATTTACTTGTAATTGGTATAAATCAACCTAGAAAATATCAACATATATGAATTAGTCCACATAATTTGTTGAAAACTTATCATATATATAATAGCAGACATTTCAATTTCAGCAAAATAAAAATTTAATTTCCTTGTTTAAAAAGCTTCATGTAATAAAATCGATAAATTATTAAACACTTTAATTTTTTGTGGACAATTATAAACTAGGGGCAAAAAAAAAAGGAAGTTATACAACAACACACCTAAAGAACTAAAATTCTAAAAATTGAAACTGTACTTTTTTTGAGACCAGGGTCTCACTATGTAGTTCAGGCTGGTCTTGAACTCACAGCCCAAGGCCTCAAATTTGGTGTACTCTTCCTGTCTCAGCCTCTTGAACGCTGGGATTACAATATGCATGAAAGCACCCAGTATTACAATTCAAATTGTCACATTCAAATTGTATAAATGAATATACCAATTGAAATTGTGTAAGTGGATATTAATAGACTATAAATTCACTTTCAGCTTTAGATTTCTCAGATGTTTTCAACATTCAAAAAAATCTGTTGCTCTCTTTTTGTAACAGCTTCAGAATGGAAAACTTCTGATTTCCATGTAACACACAGAAGCGTGCATCTACCTCTGGAGTATCGATATCTTGAACAGGTGAGTCACCGCCATCGTCATCACTCCCCTTTCTCTTTCTTCTGTTGCGAACACTCTGAATTAAGTTTTTATGATAATCACAAATGTAAAGATGCCTTGCCTGAAACAGAAAAGTTTTAAAGATTGCTTATGATGATGGTAAAAACGTGTCTCTTTTCTAGTAAAATGCATAGGTCACGGTGAATTATGAAAAATAAAGTCAAAGCAGGTCTCTGTTAAGACAACGGCATATTTCTTCCCACTCAGAGTCCTGCACCCACTGAAAAAGCGAGCTGGCTGGTGACAGAGCCAAAGGGGTGGGGTGGGCGGGGCATTCCAGAAAGGGGTGGTACCTGCCAGGGGAAGGACGCAGAAGAGGAGAAAGAAATTCCAATCCCTTGGGTCTTGTCACCAAGTTGCAGTAAGGGTGACCAGAATTAGTTCATGCTAGGTTTTTATTTGACAAGGGAAATGTTGTCTACCATTTTGCTGTTTCATAGTAATTTCTCTAAAGAAATATTTTTAAAAACTTGTGTTAGTAGTGTATGCTTTCTAATTTAATGCTCAAATATATTTCTAACACAAACTATCCACTTTTACAAATGACCTACTGAATGTATATCCTAACTATATTTAAAATTTCATTACTAATTTCTCCGAGTGCTAAGTGAATTATATTTCTGTAATATGTTTTTCCAAGTAAAGCAATCTGAAATTATTCACGCTCACCTGAAAAGTTTCTCGTGAGCAACACTAAGGAACAGCTTAAACAAGCAGAGTCACAAATAAACTTATAAAAAAAAAAAAAACACAACATATACTTCCGAAAGCTTTACAGTGACATTACATATTGGGTTTGATACTGACAGTTAACTCCTTTTAAAAACACAAACAAGGGCTGAAGAGGCATTTTTTAAAAAAACGCAGGACGTATTCTAGGTTGTGTATTTTGTTATTCATACACTACTAGCCAGAGCTCCAAAAAGTAGCATCGTTCTTTCTAAAAACCTTACAAATGATTTAAAAAAAAAAAAAAAAAGGCCCTGCAATAGGACTGAAAAAGAAATCCTGATGGCTGCCGCGCGGTCTGCAAACCGCAGGGGCTTATGTGCTCCTCATGCCAGCAGCTGCTGCCCAAAGAGCTGACAAGGCAAACACACTGGAGCACCCGACGCCCTGCAAGGCAGCGAAGAGTTTGGCTTCCCTCTGTCTGTGTTTGGGAGAAGGGCGTAAAACACGGAAAAGAACAGGATCTCCCCCGACTGCAGGACTCCACTTTGCGCAGACATGAGGCGCTACTACTCCCAGGGGCCAATAAACAGCTCCGGCAGCAAAACAAAGGCGCCTCCATTCCAGAAGGGGCTGTCGGGCTCCAAGAAAACTACTCCAGGCCCTCCGTGTGGCGAGTGGTCCCCTTTGTTTGGTCGGCGGACCACAGCAAAGGAGGAAGAAGGTAGAGTGTGCGGGAGGGAACGGGCGGCGGGGGCGGGGAGAGGACTGGAACCCCGGCCAGCGTGCGAACGCCGGGGGCGGCGGGCGCAGTTGCAGCGACTTAGTTGTTTGCAAGCCCCCTAAGCACCCGCGAGGAGTCTGCGCTGCAGCCTGGGCTGGGGCACCCCTGAGCCCCGCCAATCACCCGGGCTTTGCCCAGCTGCCGGAGCTCTGCGGGGGCGGGCAGGGAGGGGCGGTCCCGCCCGCACTTACGCTCTTGTCCATCTCGATCTTCACCTTCTTCTGCGAGATGCTCTTCTGGATCCTCTTGCTGAAGCTGGCATTGCCCGCCACCCGGCTGCACCGCTCTCCGTCCTCTCGCAAACAGCACAGCTGCCCGGGGCCCGGCCCCGCCGCTCCCGGGGAACCCGCCGCCGCCGCCGCTGCCGCCGCC